GAGCTCCGATCGCCGTGACTGTGGTCTGCCTATATGATTAAAATCTTTGTTGTAACTGGGGAGTATCAAATTTTGCTCATTGGTGAACATTTTTGTTTTTCTATTTTTTTTTCTTGAAGTAGGTGAACATCATCTTCCTTTAGAGACTATTAGATGGTTGATATCAAAACTCAAAAGTATGATGACACTAATAAATCTGGTTGTGCAATTTCTTCCAATAGTATATATTTCTCCCTTCTTCTTTTTTTGGCAAACAAAATATGCACACAATATAGAGAGAGGGCTTACTATAAAATTCAAACATTATCATCCCTCTTTGAATTACGTAAGTAGACTTTTGCCTACAAAATTTACACTCTGTTTGGCCTGGCCTTTTTTTCAAACACAAATTTTCCTAGGTCTTTCTCCCCGCTCTTACCGCAATCTAGTTGTCTTTAACTCTTCACATAAAGTCAAGTTCTTATTGCTATTGTCAAAATATTTTACAAAACGGTGTTGGCCCTTATTTCCACAATCTAATATAGAAAAATTTGATATCATTATCAATAAACTTGGGCCTTCGGAAATTTAGTTCCAAGTTAGATGCGGACTATTATGAAAAGGTGAAAAGAAAAGATAAGTTTAGCATCACTGGTTACAAAAACCGCCATACAAATTTGGCGCCAATTAAGCGGTAAATTTTTATGCCAAATCTAAAACAAAGATGATACATCTACAAGATATAAAAGTACCAAGCGTGGGTATTGTTTCAATTGCAATTAATTATGGATCGGTTATTGGTGTAATATTGACCAATTCAAGGAACTAATCATTCCTAATTAGAATTAGAAATAGAAATATTTGATATAGAATCAAATAACATAAATAAATAAATATATATATATATATAAGAATTCAAAATGTCATTTGAATTCAAAAATGAAAAATTTAACTAATTTAACTATCCTAAAACTATTTACTATTTACTATCTAATAGTAGATGATAATTAGAATTTAATCAAGTGATAAAAAAAATCAAAATTCTATACATTAATCATTGTGCTCTACAATATTTAATAATTTATTTGAAATTCTATTTTATTCTTTTCTCAATCCATATCGATTGTGAATAGACAAGAAGTACTAATAGTCACTAACTAAGATTCTAATAGTTTATGGAATTCCTATCCATATAAAATGGATATTATATGAACCCAAAGAAATTAGGATAACTCATAAAAGAAATTATAACATGTCAAAGGAACAATAAAAAATAAAACAAAATAATCATTACCAAATTATCAGCAAAAACATATCACTGACAATGTTGGCCCATACTAAAACCATTTACTGTCTAATAGTAGATGATAATTCGAATTTAATCAAGTGTTAAAAAATCAAAATTCTATATCGCTATATTAATCGTTGTGCTCTATAATATTCAATAATTTGTTTGAAATTCTATTTTATTCTTTTCTAGATCCATATCGATTATGAATAGATAAGAAGTAATAGTTACTAACTAAGAATCTAATAGTTTATGGAATTCTTATCCATAAAAAATGGATATTATATGAGCCCAAAAAAAATAGGATAACTCATAAAAGAAATTATAACATGTCAAAGGAACAATAAAAAATAAAACAAAATAATCATTACCAAATTATCAGCAAAAACATATCACTGATAATGTTGGCCCATACTAAAACCATTGACTGTCTAATAGTAGATGATAATTCGAATTTAATCAAGTGTTAAAAAATCAAAATTCTATACCGCTATATTAATCGTTGTGCTCTATAATATTCAATAATTTATTTGAAATTCTATTTTATTCTTTTCTAGATCCATATCGATTATGAATAGATAAGAAGTAATAGTTACTAACTAAGATTCTAATAGTTTATGGAATTCTTATCCATATAAAATGGATATTATATGAGCCCAAAAAAATAGGATAACTCATAAAAGAAATTATAACATATCAAAGGAACAATAAAAAATCAAACAAAATAATCATTACCAAATTATCAGCAAAAACATATTGTTGATAATGTCGGCCCATATTAACGCCATGGTGAACAAGACTCTTCTCAATAAGAACAACCCGGACAACCCAATCGCAAAATCCATCATTCAACGGATTGATAGATGCTAAATCCTGTTCCATAACAATAAACCACAAAGCAAAAAAAAAAAAAACAAAAAACAAACTAACTTCTCCAAACTAAACAGCCCACACTTTTATTGCAGCAAAAACAAAAACAAAAACTAATTAATATCCATTTAGACATAAACCTAATACAATTAATTATCTCTCTTGTAAGTATATTTACTCCAGATTCAATGACAGATATTTCATTATTACAGACAAATGTTCGCACCACATGCACATGAATTCCATTTGGAAACCATTACATGCATTGCATTATAAATAGAACCCTAAAATTATACATGCTAAGCTTAAACTTGGCATTGCCATGCCTTTGTGTGGCATCCAAAAACTAGTTCAACTCTAATCGTGATATATTTAATTTTTATTCTTGGGGATATATTTCTTTTTCTCTTTTCTTTTTTACTATGGTTATTTGCTTGGACAACTTGAAATAAAAATAGTCTTTTAGCTTGATAAAGCATGGAATGATATTTTAATAAATTAATATTTTGGCACCAATATCTTGAAAATATTTTTATTACTAATTGCCTTTGTTTCCCAACCATTTATTTGTATGTAAAGCTTATAGTACATTAACAAGTAGGAATACAGAAGGACACTTGTGGCACGAAAATTTTTTTCTTTCTCTTGAAACTAGTATTTTAATATTAGTTTTTGTAAGATGGGTTGAAATGTTACAAAAAGGTTGGAATTAGGGGAGGTAGGTGAGATATTTGAAAGTTTAGGGAGCTCAATGATATTGTAAGAAACCTTAGTGGAGATTTATGAAATATCCCTAGTTTTTAAACTCGGTTCAAATATGGACGATATTGTTTTAGAATTTATTTTAGTCAGCAAGTCTTCTTTGATTGTCAACTTTATGATAGTTTTAAGCTTGCTCAATTATGGCTGGTTTTGTTTCAAAATTTAGTTAAGTCACTTTATTTTTTTTTCCCCTTTGGTGCTCATTTCTTTTTCTTCTTCTTGTAGGCAATGTTTAATCGTTTGACACTCTCTTCCCATGCAAAAGTAATTCAAAAAACAAAATAGGATTGATCTACACTCGTATTTCCAGATAAATGATTGATCTTAAGATATATGGGGAAAGATAGACTGATTATAGAGATTGTAGATGGATTACAAAATAGGAAAAGCAATAAAAAAAAATGGGTAAGCATATATAACATGAGCATCCAGATTCCAAAAAACTTTTATGTCCTCAAACATAATGAGAAACATTAGCAGGAAATGGAAATATTGGACGGCAACAAGCGATGGAGTGACTCCTTTCTTAATCAACCATTAGAAGAAGTCGTACAACTAAGATAATTCATGATTTGGTAGCATGAAGAAGAAAGACCAATTCTAGAAACTGCAAATGAAACTTCAAAAAGCAGCTAGTGCAGTCAGCTGCTCCCTGAACAATTAAAATTTGAAGTACTTCCGTCAACAAAATGAAACTTTTCAATTGTGTGCTTTTACAATTGATTGATTTCGCTCCTCTAACTTTTAATGCAAGGTGTAAATACCTAAATTCTTTAGTTGCAAACATAATACTAGGTCCACTTCTTATTTACTACCAGACATGAGCATTGTTTCAACCCTACCCAGAAGGCCTTTTTCACAGCCATGAAGCCCACTAGCCCAATGCTAATACCCACTAGTGTTGACTGTCTTCAAGAGACCCAACGGCCACGCACAACGCCCACTCCTCTGATGATTTGACCTACTTACAGGCCATCAATCTGTGCATGGGTCTTCGAAATGTGCCATGCTTAGGTAGGCCTGTAAATCGAACCAAACAACTTGATATTCGTACAGAGTTTCTTCTTCGTTCACTGACCAAGATGTGAGAATGATGAGTAAGTATTAAGAAATCTAGTTGAAAGCTAAAAGACTATATACATACATTCCAGGCCAATGCACAATCTAAAGACTATACAAGTGTTGCAGTTGCATTATTATGATCATTGCCATATTTGCTTTTCTGAGGCACACAACAGAAAAATCTATTAATTTTTCTTAACTAGAAATTTATGCAAATGCCACCAAATATTAATCCTTTATGATTTTTGTCCCAAGCTAGTGAAAATACAAGACAATTTGGTTTTATGGATCGAACATCCAATGTCTTTATACAAGCATGCTTAGCTATGTCACATCTTCAGCATTATTCCTTTCCTGAAGCACAAAACACTTCTCAACTTTTCTACCATGAGGCAAGGTTGTCCAGATGCTTTCTTTTGTGCTCCACTGCCACAACCTGGCTCAAGCTTTTTAAAGTATCAGATCCAATATTAGAAGAATTGCAATTTAGGAATGCATAAATCTTGGTATCAAGTTTTGAACATGAAATTCATTCTAAGGAACGCTCTGACTCAATACTGGAGTTAGGGCCTTTATTCAAAGGGTGTAATAATTTTACATCACGCTTCTTATGTTCAGTTTGTAGACTTTTCGTACAACTAATTGTTCGCTATAAATTAATAGACATGCACCAACTCAATATTTGAAAAATAAAATAAAAAATTGTCTACACTTGTGATTTACTGTGTCCTGTATTTATTCGTTCATCTAATTGTATAGAATTGCCCAATTGGTAATATTACCCATAAGACGACAATATGTACATTCTAATAAGCCAATAATGGAATACATTAAAACTATCGAATGAATATTGGGTTTGCAAGCAATTCATGTGACTAACCATATGAGAGAAGTTCAATGTTAATGAAACAAAATTTACACAATAAAAAAGATTTATAAAAAGAAATAAGAATAGCATCATATACTATGTGTTATTTTAAAGTTTCATTGTAGAATTGGTGAGGGCAATTTGAAAATTCAATGCTTTTGGAGGGGCAATTGTGGAGATAGATTGAATATTATGAAAATTCAGGGGGCAAGAGCGAGACAATAATAAAAAAAAAATAGACCTTTTTAAAGTTAATCTATAATTTTTCATAAGTCAGGGGGTACAATTGCAATGCTTGGAGTCAACATATCCCCGCCCTGCTCAAACTAGAACTTCACCCCGCATGCTTTGACACTAATATTGCTATTTTTTCTTACAAGGGATCATAGCAAAATTTTCCCCAAATTTAGAGTTGCAGACAACAAAATTTGAAAATTTTGGATAGAGGAAGGAAAGATACTTAAACAGAGAAGTTCAAACATTTGTCATTTGAAGGTCCAGAAGTTGTCCAATTGTAACTATTGGGTATACGTTGAATTGAGATGGTATTTCCTTTAACAGTTGGACACACACTTGCTTCATTGTTGGCCTCAGCAGAGGATTGGGTTCTATACCAGCTTTGCCACCAAGGTCACTTGTTTCGACTCTTGCTTACTGGGAGATGAAAGTCGAGGATCCACAATGTCTTTCAACAGTATATCATATGCTGTTGAAGTGGATGATGATGCCGACAATATGAAATCACCTGGATGCTTACCCATGATCACTTCTAAAGCTAATACTCCAAAACTATAAACATCACATTTTTCATTTACTTCCATGGTAAAAGCAAGTTCTGCAATTTACAAAAAAATAATCACTTTAGACTATGGTGCAGATGAATCCCTTTAGAGTATTGAATCATAATCCAAAAGCATAAATTGGTTTGCTCATGCTAGCATTATGTAATTATGGATTAGCTGAAAAAGAGAAGGTAAAGCGAAAATTGGATTTGTTTGAGCAAAGAAGAGCATACCCGGAGCAGCATATCCATAAGTTCCAGCAAATGAAGTCCAATGAGATGAATCAGGCCTCAAGATTCTTGCAGTACCAAAATCAGAAATATGGGCTTGATACTCAGAGTCTAACAAAACATTTTTGCTAGATATATCTCGATGAATTATGGAAGGCGAACAATTCTGGTGCATGTAAGATAATGCATTTGCCACATCCTTAACAATACTTACCCTCTTGATCCATTCGCACTTGGCTGCTGTTTCATCATTGCTCAACAAGTGCATCAAGCTTCCCCCTTCCAAGAATTCATAAACCAAGAAAGTGTGTTGTGCATGTGAACAGAATCCATACAGCTTCATGATGTTGCGATGCCTTATATTTGTTAGTGCACGGATCTCATTGGCGAAATCTTTTGGTCTCCTCAAGGCACCATCATCCATTCCATGAAGTTTCTTGACCGCCACCACTTGACCATTTGGTAACTCTGCTCTAAATACACTTCCAAATCCTCCTGCTCCAATGCAATACTTGGGGTCGAAATTCTCTATTGCATCAATGATGTTTTCATAGACCATTTTCCCATCAAAGCTCCAGACAGAGAACATATTTCTAGTAAATTCCTGAGGCTTATTCTCCATGCTTATCGTATGTGGCCTTGCACGAATGAAGATGCCCACAACCACGAGCAAAAGAAATATGGTTGCTAGTATTGGAGCAACAACAAGAAAGATCATTCTTTTAGTCATCCTTCTACTAGTGTTCTTTTGAGTTGATTGAGAGCAAGGTTTCAATCCAGCAACAGTGCCACATAAACCTTTATTGTTTCTCAAGGAATCAAATGGAGCTTTTTGAAATGCACTAATGTTGGGGAGAGGACCTTCCAACTGATTGTAGAATATATCAATGGAAATCAAACTGAAGCAATGATCAAAGCTTTTTGGGATGGAACCTGATATCCTATTATGCGAAAGATTCATCGTCTCAATGCTTTTCATCTCGCCTAGCTCTAGTGGCAATTTTGATTCCAGCATGTTTTGGCAATTTTGTTCTGGAATTGAGCCACTAAGATTATTGGCCGACAAACTAAGATTTAAAAGCCTAGACATCTGACCAATTTCTGTTGGTATATTGCCTGAGAGATTGTTGTTGTGCAGCTTAAGCTCAAGCAACAAGGTCAGCTTCCCTAAACTGCTAGGGATCTTCCCATGCAAGTGATTTGAAGAGAGATAAAGTCTTTGCAGACGAGATACCTCTCCAAGCCCAGTTGGTATTCTGCCAGTAAGATTATTTTTCGAGATTCCCAACGCTGTCAAATTCAGATAGCCACTCCAATTCCAAGACAGCTGACCAAAAAATTTGTTATTCCTTAAATCCATAATTTCCACATATGGATAGATGCCAAATTCTTCAGAGATATTTCCTGATAGTTGGTTGTCAGCGACAATGATATCTCGCAAACTATAACAGTTTTTCAAGCTCCTTGGCATGGCACCCACAAAGTTATTTCCAAATACAATGAACCTCGTCAGTGAGCTACCAATGCAAATATTTTGGGGCAAACGACCAGTAAGATAGTTTTGCTCCAGCTGCAGCACATTTAAATGTGTAAGATTGTTGAATCCATCCGGAAGAACACCACTTAGCTGGTTTTGGAAAACACTAATATAAGCTAGTAACTTCAATTTTCCAAATTCAGGAGGGATATCCCCATGTAAGTTATTTTGAGAAAGATCCAAGTCATTGAGTTTGGTTAAATTTCCAATGGAGGAAGGAATATGTCCTGATAGCTGATTCCCTGAAAGATCTAATTCATTTAGTTTTGTTAAGTTTCCAATTTCTTTGGGAATATGCCCAGAAAGATAATTTTGGAAAAGATACAGCAGAGTCAGATCACTTAAGTTTCCAATAGACAGAGGAATTGGACCTGTGAGCGTGTTGTTAGCTAAAGAGAGTCCAGTAAGAGATTTGAGCTCCCCAATCTCTTCTGGAATGGGACCTGATAGCTGGTTCCCAAAAAGACTTAATTCATTTAGTTTTGTCAAGTTTCCAATTACTTTGGGAATAGGTCCAGAAAGATAATTTTGGAAAAGATGCAGCAGAGTCAAGCCACTTAAGTTTCCAACAGACTGAGGAATCTGACCTGTGAGCGTATTGTTAGCCAAAGAGAGTTTCGTTAGAGATTTGAGCTTCCCAATCTCTTCTGGAATCCATCCAGAAAGTTTGTTGCTTCGTAGGTTTAGCAGGGTTAGGCCTGTGAGATTGCCAATTGAAGTAGGGATTGATCCATTGAATGAGTTATCGAAAAGGTTCAAGAACCAGAGATTGGTTAGTTGGCTGATTTCAATAGGAATGGCACCAGACAATTGATTTGACCAGAAGGAAAGATAGGTTAGTCTAGAAAGGTTCCCAATGTTGGATGGTATGGTCCCATGGAGTGCATTTTGAGAAAGCTCAATTGTAGTTAGATGGGTTAGAGACGAGAAATTGAGATGATCAAGTGTACCTTTGATGCCAGAACTAGTGATGTTAATCACTGATACTCGTCCAGCTTTGTTGCATCGAACTCCAATCCAAGTGCTGCAAGGACTTGCAGAAGATGACCAGGATGACAACTTAGATTGGCTATAATTGTCAAGACTGGCTTTCCATGTTAAAAGAGCTTTCCCTTCACTTCCCGTACTTGATGCTCCATGCATTTGATCATTAGCAGCATTAATTCCAGAATTGGAGAGCAAGTGAAGGATGACCAAGCATGCAAAAACTAATGTGATTGGACAGATGGAATAATTCAGGGTTGACATATCTGCTGGATGTATGTCACAGTGAAATTCTTAAGAGAAAACTTTTGTTGTAAAGCTGATGGCTATTTTAGCACTTGTGCAGGTATTTATAGATGACTTAAGTCGTCTGTTCTCGTTATCATCATCATTCCATGCAAAAGTCCTTCCCTTCATTTATGTTTCCCACACATGATGTTTACGTAATAAGCTTTATTTCCTGGGTCTTTGCCCCTTCTCCTACGGCAATCTAGTTGAGTCTTTAACTCTTGACATAACGTCAAGTTTGGGGTTGATTTTGTAAACTAAAGTCTATTCTGAATTTATTTTAGTTAGCAAAGTCTTCTTTGATTCTCAACTTTATGATATTTTTTGAGCTTGTTCAAGTATGGCTGGTATTGTTTCAGAATTTAGTTTAGCCACTTTATTATATTTTGTCCCTTTGGTGCTCATTTCTTTTTCTTCTTCTTGTAGACTATTTTTATTCATTTAACATTTTTTTCCCATGAAAAAATAATTTTTAAAAAAAAAGAAAACACGATATCTTGTTTCGTAATTGAAACAAAAAACTATTCCTAAGCTAAACTTTTATTTCCAGATAAATGATTGATTTTGGAATAATCGTTTATTTTTTAATGTTTTTTATGAGAGTAATCGTTCTTTTGTTTAAGAGTTTTGAATTTATGGAGTTCGTTACTTTCATTTTCTTATTCTTAGGATCTCTTAATTTCTTGGGCGGCAATAATTAAATCGGTTAATGAAAGAAATAGACAAGATATATAGAATGATAGTAAGTCACTCTCAATTTAACAATAAACGAAAATTCAAAGTCAACAGAAGACTTGGACTTTGTTTGGAAAGTAATTTTTTTAAAAAAAAAATTGATATGTTTTTTGTGAACATATTTTTTTAATTATTTTTTTTATTCACATATATCAAATCGTTACAATAATTTTTCTATAAAAAAATTTAGAAAAATGTAATCCAAACAAAGCCCAAGCTTGAGCACCTTCATTGAAGCTAGACGAACAACATAATCGCCACTATTTGTTAGAATCTTAACCTTATCTTATCTTAAATGTTATAAAGCGGGGATGAATTATGAACCTTGACTTCCCAATTGTTCTGGTCTCAGTGCAATTTTGACAGATATCTGCTGGATATATGTCAATGAAATTCTTAGGGGAAAACTTTTGCTGTAAAGCCGATGGCTATTTTTGCACTTGTGCAGGTATTTATAGAGTAGAAGATAAAAAAAAAAAAAAAAATCTGATTGGAGATGACTTAAGTCGTCTGTCTCTCGTTATCATCATCAATCCACGTTCTCACCTGTCTTGCAAAAGTCCGGATTAATAATCAATTACGTGACATAGACACGCATGGTTGCATTTTATGTATCCCTACATATGATTCAGATTTTCTTCCCAAATTAATCTCACTATGATGCTTAAAACTGAATTCCTTGTTTATGATTCGTCCGGCAATGTACGTAACACTAGCATTAAACTTCTACTTTTGGAATATCCAAGAAAAAAAAATCTTAGCAATTTACTTGAGCTCCGATCGCCGTGCCTGTGGTCTGCCTAGATGATTAAAATCTTTGTTGTGAGTAAGGAGTATCTAATTTTGCTCATTGGTGAACGTCAGCCTGTGCAATAATAATAATGAATATAGAACCTAGCTACCACTAAAAGCAGTCAATAATTAATCCTAGGTACTGGAGCAGGGACTCTAGGCGTGCAATGGGTTACTTGATTCACCCTATTCCCGAAGAGTTTGCTTAACCCGATATACCAGAATTAATTAGTTGGCAGAAATTACTGAATAGTAGACAGTGACAAGTAGGGTCGTCTCCTCAGGGACTGGAGATATCTGTCTCTTTTAAAATTCAATTGATAAGGGGGGATTTCACCGGAATGAAACTAAAAACAATTAAACAATTTTGACTAAAATGAATAAATAACTAGCACAAGTATAGCAGGAATCTAATCAGGAATAAATAAATTCTAGCCAAGGATACAACTACTCAGGCACAGTCCAATCATCCGATCATTGACGCAAGAGATGTTCACTTAATGTATTAATAGGCTAGTTATAGTCTGACGACCAATTTTTCCTTAAATTATTGATAACCAAGGTACGACCGTTGATTACCCCTAATCAGCAAATACTCCTAGGTACGACCATAGTTGTCAAAATCGCGATCCGGATCGTAGGATCGTATGATCCTACGATCCGGATAACTAAAATCGATCCGGATCGTATGCAGAGTCGCAAATCGTATTAATTTTTGTAGGATCGCATAGAATCGTAGCAGGATCGGTAGGATCGTGTAGGATCGTAGGATCGTAGGATCGGTAGGATCGTACGATCCTACAATTTTTTTGTAAATTTGTGAAATACGAAGCTTCATTTTGCAAGTAAATGAAAATATTTGTGGTATATTTGTAATTTATCAAAGAATTGCAACCTTTAATTGCAATTAAGAGCTTTTGGTAGGATCTTACGATTCTACGATCCGATCCTACGATCCGATCCTGTGAAACTAAAATCGATCCTATGTAGGATCCCGATTTTACAAACCTTGGGTACGACCATAGGAAGTAATTTTCCAATTGCATTAATAACTAGAAAAACCTAGCCCTAATCAATAACACGCTACGAGGGTTATTTAGATTATATCGCACGTCTCCCTAATGTGTAAACACACCAGTTGCCACTAATATTAATCAATCAAACAATTACGGATTTAATTGACTAAATTGGTACGAGATTAATAAATCACATTGAACATCGGGCCCTTGACATCCAATTAATAAAATAATCCCATGAAAATTCAAGCAGACAACGTGCAAATATTAATAAATAAAGGAACACGTGAAAACTAATTAGATCTCACAGATTTTCGGGACTGCGCCGTCGAGTTGACCCTTGACTAGATGGAATGATTAGCCACGCCGCATAATTAAATCACCACACGAATTAATAAATTGCAAAGGCATTGCGTTTTCTATTAGGAAGCAAGGAATAAAAGGTGTTTTTCCCGTTGGGGAATATTGTCGAACACCTGGCGTGTGTCAGAGGCCAGTCAGGAGGAGGAAAGAAAAAACTAAAGACTCGGCTAAAAACTAAACTAAAAGATAAACTAAAAACTAGAGATGTCTTCCTTCCCTACGTTATCCCTATTTAAGAGACAAAAGAAAGATAGACTAAAGCTATCTAGGTGGTCCTCACACATGTGGACAAAGCCTCCAAAGTACTTCTTCTCCCAAGTCTCTTTTCCGTAGCTTTCTTTGAAAAGCCCAAATAACTTATAACTTTGTGGTCCCCACCAATCCAAGGGCCCAAGGATTGAAGCCCTTAGAAGTCTCCATATTCTCCATAAAGTCCCTCCTTTTTGGTAGTTTTCTGCTTCATTCCTGAAATTAAGTCCAGATACCAAATATGAGTAAATATCAGCAATTAACACAATATTTATCAGGGATAAAAGGGGAAATAAATAATAAAATTACTAACAAATTATACCCTATCATTTTGTTTTTCTTAAGTTTTTTTCTTGAAGTAGGTGAACATCATCTTAGACTATTAGATGGTTGATATCAAAAGTATGATGACACTAATATATCTGGTTGTGCAATTTCTTCCAACACTATACATTTCTCGGTTTTTTTTTTGGCAAACAAAATATGCACACAATATAGAGAGAGGGCTTACTATAAAATTCAAACATTATCATCCCTCTTTTAATTGTGTAAGTAGACTTTTGCCTACAAAATTTACACTTTGTTTGGATTGGTCTTTTTTTCAAATACAAATTTTCCAAATATAATGTTATAGTGACATACTCTAAAAATGCTCCAAAAGCACTCTAAATACACCTAACAAAAACACACACAAAAAAAAAAAGGTCCTACCATCTATTTTCTTCTACCCACCACCCACAACCACCACCTACCACCGCTACTACCCTTCCCCACCTCCTTTCACTACCATCACTGTCCCTTCCCTTTCCTTCCTCCTCTCTCTACCCTCTCACTTTTCCTTGCCTCCCCTCTTTCCTCCTCCTCCCTCCTCTCCGCCTCTCCTCTCCCCTTCTTCTCCCACAACCCCCTCCCCTCTCTCTATCTCTCTAACCCACTTTTGTCATGTGCTTATTGTATATCTCTCTAACCCACTTTTTATTTTTAGGTTTGTATGTAGGTAAATATTCAAAACTTGAATTTAAAGTTAGCTTTTAGTTCACTCGGTATGTACTCTACATTTTAGTTAAACAACTAGTCAACTATAAAAGAAAGCAGGGACGTCTTTAAACCTCCAATTTTAACAATCTAGATGTTAATCCAATTTTAAGGTGTTGTTGCCCCATGCAGAAGTTTTCCTGATCCTGTAACACATGATGAGCAAATTAGAAATGAAAGAATTCAAAAGTTGAATGAATAAACTTTATAGAATTGGTCCCAATTTGATTAGTTTACCAATAAAAACTACAAAGCGTTTGAGAAAAGTAACAAGCTTTATTTACTAATTTATTTATTTCTTTACGTAATAAGCTTTATTTTTTAGGTCTTTAATCCATACTCCTATGACAATCTAGATGAGCCTTAACTCTCAAAGATAGATAAACCGGAAGAGCTTCCGGTTTACGGTTCAACTGATTTAATGCTGGTTCAATGGTTTAATCATTTTTAATTTATTTTAATATTAAATACTGTGAATAGAGCTGAAATATTTATTTTAAAATAAAAATTAGTAATTTTGGTTGAACCGCCCTATTTTTATCTGTCCAATCGCTTTTTGACTGAATTTGACTGATTCAATTAACCTTTTGGGCCAACTATAGAATCGGACCAAAGACATAGCTAATTTGCAGTTCAACTGATCAAACCAGCTAGTCTGCTTTGGTTTTTAAAACACTACTGTTATCAACATCAATCCATCTTGCAAAAGTCCATCATCTCAAATATGTTGGCATATGACTTAGATTTTCCTTCCCTGCATTTGTGTGACCTAGATTTTCCTTCACAGCATTTATGTTGCTCTACACATGACTTAGATT